GGATAAGTTCATGAGAACAGAGGAAGAAATCAACCAAAGGACCGAAAGCGGGATCGAGAAAAGGAAGAGGGAAGGCGAGCCCTCCAACCCAGTCGACAGATAAAACCCGGCCCGAGAGCCGAAGCCGAGCCAGCCGTTCCGAGCTCTTTTAGCAGCTCGGACGGATTACACACCGTTAAACACGAGGCGGACCAAGATCTTGATGACGATCAAAGACGCCCCATACGTAAAGTGGCCACCTCGCCTAAAGGGGAATCCAAACGAGAAAAATAAAAATTTGTACTGTAGTTTCCATAGAGATCACGGTCATAATACCGAACAGTGTAATAATCTCTGGGACGAGATAGAGGGACTCATCCGCCGCGGATACTTGAGAAATTTTGTACAGTATGATAACAATAATAAGAGTAAGGCAGGTCGGAAAGGGGAACACGGAAGGGATGCCCCCGAATCCAGTAGCAGACCAGCCGAACCGTTGCAACGACAACCTCCGAAAGAGAGGCCAGTTCGGGGAACCATCCATGTGATAGTGGGAGGTTCGGTGGTAGCAGGTTGTACTTCGGCAGCGGCCCGGACGTCAGTTCGCGAAGCAGCCCGAGAAGACCAGAACCCTCTAAAGAGGTCGAAGACAGAAGAACCGATCTTCTTCACGGAAGACGATGTGCAAGGGGTCCACTACCCCCACGATGACTTGTCATAAAACTAAGGATCAGCAACTTCGAGGTCAGGCGCGTACTTGTGGATTCGGGCAGCTCGGTAGACATCCTCTTCAAGTCAGCATTTGACCAGCTACAGTTGCAGAGAAGCGAACTAAAGCCCGCGAACACTCCTCTGGTGGGCTTCAGCGGAGAGGAAGTCAGGCCCCTCGGGAAAGTAACAGTACCTGTGGAAATCGACACATGGCCTTGTGCGGTCAGACTCAACCATGTTTTCCTGGTGGTCACGACCCCTCCCCATACAATGCCATAATAGGGCGGCCAATTACGCATATCCTGCGGGCAGTGGTCTCCACCTACTATTTGGTAATGAAGTTCCCTACAGACTTTGGTGTGGGGGTAGCGCGGGGTGACTAGCTCGAGTCTCGCAAGTGTTATGTTGCCGCCCTGAAGGGAAAAACCAAGGCGGCCGACGACCTTGAATTAGAGTGGCCCACAGAGCAAGGCGAGGAATGAGCTTTGCCCACAAAGGAAACAGTCGCAATTCCAACTTTGGCTACGGACCCAGCTCGCACGCTATACATCGGTGCTTCCGTCAAGGAACCTCTACGAACCGAACTGGTGAGTTTTTTACTTCAAAATTTAGATATTTTTGCCTGGTCCGCGGCCGACATGCCCGGTATTGACCCCAGCCTTATAACTCACAAACTTAATACTGACCCTGTAGTCAGACCCATTAGACAGAAGAAACGCAACTTAGCCCCAGAGCGCTGGAGGGCGGTCAACGAGGAGGTCGAAAAGCTCCTCGCAGCAGACTTCATAAGGGAAGTTCATTACCTGAGTTGGGTAGCCAACCCAGTGCTGGTGAAAAAGGCAAACGGCAAGTGGCGCATGTGCGTCGACTACACTGACCTGAATCGAGCTTGCCCGAAAGATTGCTTCCCCCTCCCCAGAATTGACCGCCTAGTGGACGCGACCTCAGGACATGAGCTGCTAAGCTTCTTGGACGCCTACTCGGGCTAC